ATATATATATATATATATATATACAGTGGGGCTTCAAGATACGAGTTTAATCTGTTCCACAACAGCACTCGTATGTTGATCCCCTCGTATCTTGATTTTCCCCATTAAAAATAACTAAAAACCATGAGAGTATACCATGAATTAAATTACAATTCCCCTATCAAAAACATATATATAAACAAATATATTGTAAATATATTTATAATATGATATAAATAATAATAGTTTAGCAAACATTTTATTATTGTTATAAAAATGGGTCAAAAAAAAAAAAAAAACAGCGAGGGACAACAGCACGACAGTGGGCCACTAAGCTAAGCATAGGAGAAGGACTGGAAGTGAGAACTAGATTTAGATCAGCCTGAACCCTATATGTACTGTAATTTTCGGATTATTGAGCACACCTGAATATAAACCACACCCACTTAATTAAAAAAAAAAAAAGTACATATACAGGCCACACTTCTCTATAAGTCACAGGGGTCAAATAATTTTGCCTGTAACACAACTGGTTGCACGTTAGCTCTTTCCTTCTTCGACGCCCCGACCGTAGTTGGAATGCACAGGGGGGACATAGTGATCAGCTCCAGGACCGAAGCTAACATTTGCTAACTCCCTTCACTTGTCTGCAGCAGAGGTAAACAGAAACAGGGAAGTTGCTTTATATCAGCCACACCGAGCATTCTTTAGCCCGTAAAACTCCATCAATGTTTAAGCCGCAGAGTACAAAGCATGTGGAAAAAAAGTACAGTGGAACCTTGAGATACAAGCATAATCTGTTACAGGACCGAGCTTGTAACTCGAGGTGCTCGTATCACAAATCATTTTTCCCATAAGAAATAACTAGTTTAGATATAAATAACTAGAGTTTTTACGTTTGAGACAGACGATACAGTAGCGGCTAATGGCGGCATCTGCGGAGGAGGAGGGAAGGAGGAATGGAGGGAAGGTACCTTACACACATACACTACGTAACTTACATAAACTTGGAAATAACTTAACTTACATTGGGGTGCTCCGAGTGCTCAGCAGCCTAGCGTCAAAGTCTGTAAGCATGCTCGTATCTAAAATCTTTACTCGTATCTTGAAGCAAAAATTTGCTTGAAGGCTTGCTCGTATCTCGAAACACTCATATGTCGAAACACTCGAGGTTCCACTGCAATGGCTTATAGTCCGAAAATACGGTTATATTTAGATGTAACTTCAGCACGACATACAACTCCTGTTAAGGTAGAGCAGAGGTGTCAAACTAATTTTCACCAGGGGCCACATTAGCAATACAGTTCCCCTTAAAGGGCCGGTTGTAAATTGAAGACTGTATAGATCAGGGGTCCTCAACCCCCGGTCCGCAGACCAGTACAAGTCCATAGGTCATTTGATCCCGGGCCGCAGTGGGACAAAATGTGCTTTTTTTTTTATAATTGACTTCATTCAAAGAAAATCCAGTCATATCCATTTACTTTCTTTATTTAAAGATAATCTGGCAATATTTTAACATAATAGGTCATTCGGACTCTGATACAAACAGAATAGAGTCTAGTAGATGTTTTATTTTGAAAATGTTATGATCCTTCAATGTTCAGCACCTTGCTACCTTGCCAAAGTAACGGGTGGTATTAACTGAACAGTCCTTGGAACAAAAAAGGTCAGGTATCACTGGTATAGATGTAACTCCTCCATAACAGACTAATACATGTTTCTGCAATTTCCGAATTTGGCACCCGGGCCTTGAGTTTGACACATATGAGGTAGAGGCATTATTCTGGTTTAGGAGCTACAAATTCTGAATGGTAAAATTATTTGTGGATGAAAGGAATAGAAAGATAATTAGATTAAAGACATCCTTCTTTATTTGTCTTCTTTGCCTTACCTTGGCTGTTGTGTAGTCCACCACTTTCTTGGTGGTCAGGTCACATTTGTTGCCAACCAGCAGCTTATTCACGTTTTCACTAGCATAACGATCGATTTCCTGAAGCCACTGCCGGACATTGTTGTAGGACTCCTGAACAACAGAACAAGAATAAGTCATCACAAATCGAACTGATTTTTAAGAAAAAAGCACAATAGCTACAAGGAAAAAAAATCAACAAACAATTTTCTTGAAAATGAGGTGGACAGGACTTTATAAAAAGCAGAACAAGGGAGCACACATAAATTCAAAAAGCTTTGAAAATTCCAGACACTGACCAGCCGATCAATGTGTCTTAAACATCTGCTTTGTGCTGAAAGCTAGAAACCACTTTTTATCACACCAACTACTCACTGACACCAATACCACTAATGCTTTTTGATGTGTGTGTGTGTATATGTGTGTGTGTATATATATATATATATTTATATATATATATATA